AAATCTTAAGACAGATTCCTGAGTTAGAAATTACCTTAAAGCATCTAAGTTTCTTAAAAATATCTTAAGAATTTTTTCAGACATTTTATAGACATTTTGAATAACTTTAGGGTGAATTAAGTTTGTCTTAAGAAAATCTTGAGAAAGTTTCCTGAGTTAATGTTACCTTAAAACATCTTAAGATTTTTTAGAATATCTTAATAATTTTTTAAGACATTTTGAATATCTTTAAGGTGAATTAAGTTTGAACAAAGAGTTCTTAAAATTTTTTTCAGTACACACAAAATTTGTCTTGTGATATTTTCGAAAATGATCAGATCTTAGTTTCCGTTTAAATCTGTGAGAAGTTCAATAATTCTATAATTAAAGTATATATTTAAAAGGTTTTCAGCTTTTTTTTTTTTTTTTTTCGTTTTTTCATGAAACATACAAAATATTAATTTGAGATAGAAAAGAAAATGTTTTATTTTACTGCTTTTATGAAACATCAACTTGTATCTAGGGAATTCAATACACCAATCAGAACAATTTTTATTAATCAAAAACTCTCACATTATTAAAATTTGAATGATTGGAAATTTTGCCGAGTTGAATGTATATAACCATTTCACTCTCCCAGATTCGAATTTTAAGTTTATCCGATATACATGATTAAGGAAAAGATCGCATAATTACAGTAGTTATTAGTTTTATTTTTTCATTAATTGATGCATAAGTTGTGTTAGCATTCACATTAACAAAACAAGTTTAATTTTGCGAATTTTTAAAATTTGTGTTCATTAATTTCGTTTTAAATTACATGTGCTATATCTTTACTCATTAAAGCTGTATGAAACGTTTTCATTCACAAATGTTTTAAGCGTACAGTTTAATTCATTTACTGAAAATCTACAAGTCTTTAATCGAAGAAAAAGCCATCTGAATAATACTTTTTTGTTCGCTGACTCAGCCACGCTTCCGTTCTCTCTCCCCTCATCCCCCCGCCACCGACTGAGGAGGTTGTTTACTTTCGATAACATGATAATGCAGCGTGTGTGAAGAATTCGCTTAAATGCTTTGATGAAATGCTTGAATTTGGTAAGTTTAAAACTTATGCTTTTATCTTATTTTTCTATTCATTTATAATTGACGATAGCGTCTTTCTTATTAATATATTTCCATTTATTAAGGAATTATTACTGCTACTAATCTTATTAAAAATGCTTTAAGTGAGGAAGCTAAGCCTACTTATGATGTACTTAAATTTATGTTGTAGTTGTATCATTCATGTTTTAATCAATACAATATTAAGAAGAATGTTTTTAAAACAGGCTATATTTCTTTTGTAGTGTTGAAATTTTTTCTGAAATTTTTGTATTCAGCGTCAGTGATAATAATTTTTGAGAATCCTCTATTTATTTTATTGTTATTGCTACCTTACCTGTGTTACGTAGCATAACATTATCAAAAAACTTTTATTAATCTATAACTAATGCTTTTCCTGAACTGTAGCCAATAAATATGAAGCAAAGCAATTTTGATAACAATATTTTGAAAGAAAATATATTGATTGTATGGTAAAGATGTGTGTATAAACTTTATACAGTGACTTTTTTTTTTCTCTTTGAAAGGCAATTTAATGTTTGTGTAATCTAAATTTATATTATTAGTATAACTAAATGATTTATAGTTTTTTTTTTTTGTTACTTTGTCTTGGCTGTGTTCAAATAAACGTAAACATATTTTTTCAATTACTAAATATTTTTATAAATAATAATTATTTTTATAAGTAGTTATTTTTATAAATAATTACTTTTCTATTTACATTTGAATTTTCTTTGTTTACTAGAACTTTGTTGTGTGTTAAAAACAATCCTTACACTTTCTTATGTATTTAAGCTTAACTGGATTTACACTTTTTTTTTGTTTCTTTAACACGTTGAATGCCACACTAATTTTAGATGGCTAATTTTACTAGCCAAAATAATTTTTTCAGTATGTATTGCATTAATTTCTTCAAACCATTTTAATGATAATAATATAAAAAAAATAAGAGCATTAAAATTTTGTTCGAATTATCTGTTTCTAATTATCTAGACTTCGCCATTCATCAGTGACCCCTGTGGCGATACAAACTCTGCGCCAGTCATTGATCGATGATTGCTATGGCATTCAACGTGTTAAATTAGCTCATTAATATTAAATTATCAATAATATTAAATTTAATATTTACTTTGCTAAACCTATTTTTAATGTAATAAAATCTTCATGAATGTATTTGTGTACATTGGAATGAAAACTTTTAACAACTTATTCAAATAAAATACTCTTGCATTGATAAGTTCTGTTTTAAATTTTCTAGCCGAGCTGAATGTATCAGTAGACTCGCATTTGATTTACCAGGAGAGGAAAACCACTCAAACCAGCTGCAGTTAGTCTGGTGTCTCGGGGACTCAAACTCATGATCACTGAGGCTATGTTACTTCAGCACTGTGGTCAGTGTGAATGGAATGGAAATGCATTTGAACTAACTTCATCAATTGAAAGGCAAATCCTCTATTCCCTGTGCCATTGTGACACTCCTGGAAACAAAGCAGATCATTTAGGATTTTGCTGTTTACTTCCTAGACTCGCTTTTACTCTCCCCTATAGAGAAATCTTCTCCACCATTGTTTGAGCGAAAGACTATATAAAGAATGTGGATGCTGCAGGAAGGATTTGGTCAGGCCTCTTATGCAAATGCTTTGCCCATGTACCTCCCCCGGAAAGTTTTTTAACTAAAGCATTTCTTCTTCCAAATACCAACTTTAGATGTCCGTTGCTATTGCTCCGAAATATTGTGATTGTGTGTGAAAACTAAAAAAAAGAAGAGAAGAAAAAAGTGTCATTTGGTTTTATTCAAAATTAGGATAGTGTTTTAATAAAAGTTCTGTGTGAAGCGTGGACTTTTTTTAACAAGTGCCTTCATTAAACCATCTCGTCAAAAAAAAAATGGACTTAAAGTCGTTTCACTCTGTATAGCAAATTTTCCTGCATATATACCTTTTACTACGATGTTTTATTTAATTTTCTCACTATAGTGCTAACTTTATTTAATTTGGTTTTATTTTAAACTATAATTTTTGTAAATTTGGTTTAGGCTATTCTTACTGGTTAATTACTCGATGTTGTATTAAGTATGATTACCATTATAATTTTGCTTCCAGTGTTGTGTTTTCTTTGTTTACCTGCACTTTTTCTTTACTGACCTTTAATTGTGATATTACTATATATATATATAGCCAATGCTAAGGATTTCAAATTATTTGCCAGATTTTAAAATTCATAGCCAAAAGAAAATTTTAGAAATTTTTTATGATTAATTTTTTCCATAGGAAACTTTTAAGCATAATACAAATTTATTATGAATTATTTTATGAAAATACAAATTTCGAGTCATTTTGCTGTTGGGGAGGAGTAAATGTGCAATAAATGGGAGAGAGATTGTAAAATATAGATGTTTTATCGTGTTCGCGAGGAAATAGACATAGGTTGAGGTTTATTTTTGGCAATGTATTAGATTAGTGCAGTAATATAAAGATAAACCTGAATCGACACTGTATTCTGTGTTATTAAGTTAGTGCATATGTTATTGCCATGAAAAAATATATTTTCTGCCAAAATAATCTGCATCTTGCTTTTCATTTAAAAACAGCTTTACCCAATACTTTCCCCCAAATAACAATTTTTTGCCAAAGTTACAGTTTGATCGTATATGGTTAGACAACAAATGCTTAGCACATGTTAGGTATCGATAAAAAAAATCGTATAAATCAGTATATCATTTGTGTGTATAATAATTTAAATACTTTAAGATTATTCTGACATTTTTTTTTCTTTCTTTGATATTGAAACTTTTTGTTGCCAGAATTCTATACCAAACGCAATGGATCCCCCCATTGAAATGACAATAAGTTTCGGAGTGATTTTATATTACAATAAGTTGGTTATGTATGACAATAAGCATGCTAAGCCGTCAAATAAACAGTTCTTATCGATATAACTATGCTTTCGTTCAGACACTAGGTGGCATAAATAACACCCCTGTGGGGCACACCAAAGTAACATAAGATTTAAAGAGAAAAAGAAAAAAATTAAATTTTCTTCCTTTTTCGAACTTTGCAAGTTGAAGGGTCGTAATAAGTCAGTTTATCAAAAATGCATTAGTAACCTTCAATTTTCTTCATTGATTGATGTATTTATTGCTTACAGTAAGTAATACATGATTA